GGGGGTTGGTGTGACCAGGGTGGGCACAGCCAGCTTGACGTCACTCATGTCGGGTGGCACCTGTGGTGGCCGAGTGCCAAGGCAGGACTTCCTTGAGACCCTCCCTCCCTCTCATAATATTTCCTTCCTTCCTTTTCCTTCCTTCCTTCCTTCCTTCCTTCTCCTTTCTTCTTCCTTCCTTCCTTCCTTCCTTCCTTCCTTCCTTCCTTCCTTCCTTCCTTCCTTCCTTCCTTCCTTCCTTCCTTCTCCTTTCTTCTTCCTTCCCCTCTTTCCTTCTTTTTCCTTCCATGCTCTCTTCCCATCTTTTCTTTATCTTTCCCCTTTCTCCTTTCCTGTCCCTTCTTGCACGCTCAAATGCAACGGGGGAAACACTTCTCCCTTTTGTTTTGTTTTTAGTGTCAACTAAAAACAAACAAACCCTCCTTTGGTCTTTTTAGTTGCCAGCAGAAAGGGAGTGGGGGGGAAAGCAGTGCATTCCTTAAATGCCTTAGATAATCGTCTTGGCAGCCCAAAGTTGTCGGCGTGAAAGAATATTACTGAAGAGCATGTTTGATGACTCTTGGCTATGGATGTGTCCCATTGGAGAATATACATCCAGGGGGTGCGGGGAAGACCAGGGTCAAGGGGGAAATGAATGATGTATTTTAGTGTCAGCTGCACCCAGCTAACACCATCATGGCCACTCCTAATAAATCAATTTTTTTTACTCTTGAGAGATGCGGCTAGAGACTTACGATTTGAATGAGGGTGGATTTGTTGGAGCCCTGACATTTAGTTTGTTTTGCTAGCCCTCTGCCAGCGGAAAGAGAGCTCGAGGAGGCCGCACACAAACACACACACACCCCAGCTCTGTTTTTGCTGGCAGAGTGCTGCAAGTGGCTGTCATGGCCGAAAATGTCGCTCGGGAGGGCCATGCATGGCTCTACCAAGCGCTGTTTTTAGTGACAGAGACAGATCGGGCCAATCCTTTGCTGTTTCCAGGGCGCCCCCCCCCCCCGGCCAGATCTAAGCCTTGAGTTTGACACCCCTGGAATTATTGTTCTCTCACTGTCAGGAAATGTGTCCTAAATTCTGAGTTGCTTCTCTCCTTGATGAGTTTCCATCCGTTGCTTCTTCTCCTCCTCCCTTCTGGTGCTTGGGTTTGACTCGGCCTCTCTGTTCTTTTGGGGCAGCCCCTCAAATATTGGAACGCTGCTCTCATGTCACCCCTTAGTCCAGGGGTCGCCAACCTTTTGGACCTCAGGGACCACCAAACTCGTAATTTTAAATCCCGTGGACCAGAGGTCCTGGGAAAATCCCCAAAAAAGTTTGCAGGAAAATTCCCCCTCCCGTTTTCCTTCTGATTGATCGTTCTTTGTTTGGGATTGCAGGATACCGTCTCCAGCTCCGTTCTCAGAGAGAGAGAGAGAGAGAGACTTTTGGTTCCATGCAAGGAAAGCAGCAGACGCAGCAGAAGTTTTTCTTTCTCTCCCCCAAACTCCGCCAGAAAGGAGTCTTTGCCAGCACAGCCTCTTGGAGCAGGAGGCCTTGCAGGGTCCCAAAGACTCATTTCTGGCGGAGTTTGGGGGAGAGAAAGAAGGACTTTGGCTGCTTTCCTTGCATGCAGCCAAAAGCAGAAGCAGAAAGGAGCAGCCCGGTGGCCAAGCCAGGCGTTTGGGGCAAGTGGGGCAAGTTCCCCCTTCCGCCCTTTACCCCCCTCCCCTCACTACCTCGTATGGTTTTCAATGCAAGCGAAGCAAGCCTTGTGTGTTCCCGTGCAGCCTGGATTAATTGCTTTGGGGGGACATTTCTCTGCGGACCACCGAAATTTACTCGCGGACCATCAGTGGTCCCCGGCCCTTAGTTTTTCTTTTCCTTAAAAGAAGACCACAACAGAACAAAACATTGCTGGTGTTCATTGTGTACATTGGATTTGCTTCCTTTTTTAACAGCTGCTGCCGATCCCCGATTCCGTACCCATATCTCCAGACGACGGAGAACACGCCGATATTTACAAGCTCCGCATCCGGGTGCGAGGAAACCTGGAGTGGGCTCCTCCACGCCCCCAGATCATCTTCAATATCCATCCAGCACCAGCGTAAGGAGGGCTGTTTACAGCTTGTGATTTGTGTGTGTGTGTGTGTGTGTGCTAACCAAGTTCAAGCAGAAGAAAATGGGAAGGAACTTCCAGGAAATGAAGAATTGAAGCAATATAAGAAGTTGTTTTTATTCCACGTCCTCCGAGTCTTTCTAATGAAACCTGGAATAGCTAAGATAGTGGAACTTAAACGTTTCCTCTTGATGTAGACGATAAGTAGAGAGGTCAAGGGATGGATGGGGCTAGAATCCCTATGCAGCCAGTGATTGCTTGAAGTTAAAACCTACCTGAAAGGTGTCAGGTGTGAAAGAGCAGGTCCCATGTAAAGGTT